TATGTATTGTACGCATTGTAGCATTGAAGATGCTCTAAGTTCAGGTTGTATATGTTCTGTGCTTTGGCGGTTCTTTCCCGGACATTGGCACTTTGGGTCGTTTTGTCTCCCTCGATGTGGGAAGTCGTTTTGGTATCCTAGTCAGCTTCGTCTAGTCATGGGTTTTTGGCAACTTTCTTTTGAATTGCGTAGATAATAGTAGAACTTGTCCTCCTCCAGAACCACCTCCGTGCCACGACGAATTTTGTGGAAAGCCTTTATTTCAATTTTATTTTTCCTTTAGTAGTACTTATTTTTATTTTGCTTCAAGTAGGTTTGGTTTGAATATTTGGAATTCTAGAGTACTTTTGATAGGTCGTGTTTAAATTTGCACATTTTGGGTTTGACGCATCAAGTTGTTTTGTATGAGATGACTGATTCTATATCTACTCTTAAGGCTTACGATCAGCTCTGGCATAACTATCATGAAGTTATTTTGTATGATTTCTTGATATTCATATAAAAAGATGCTCTTTTATATTCAAAAAATAATAATTTGACAAGCCCAAGTTCCACAGTTCCACTTAAACTACATGAGTGAATTCAACTAAATTTCTAGTGAATACTTTTGGTTAATTACCTCAGTCGTACAAGGAAAAAAGAAGCCGGCAAGCAAGAAAAAATGGAGGTCCACACAGTCATGGAGCCATGGAGCTCCTCTTAAAGAGAATTCATTTTGGCAAGGGTTTTTTTTTGTTAAAACACAAATCTTTGTGTTGGTCCAACGGGGGGATGGGCGGGGCCGGGACCGGTCCGGTCTGGCGGTCCGGGACCGGGTGTAGACCCGAACCGGGGGATGGGCAGGGCGGGCTCGGTTCCGGAAATAGTTGACCCGGCCTGGCCGGGTCAGGCCTGGGTCCGGGTCCAACGGTCACAATTTAAAAAAAATTGTTTTGGACTTTTGGGCCAAACTAGCCGTTGGGGGGTGGGCTGGGGACAACCCAAACGGCTATATAGCCGTTGTTGGGTGGGCTGCAGGGGGTCCGGGGGTTTGGGGGTGGGGGGTGGGGGTGGGGTAAAAAAACCTATAAATACTCCTAATCTAAAACATTTTTTCATCTCTTCTCCAATTCTTTCTAAATCCTATTCTTAACTCTCTACTCTCTAATTTTCTTATTCTGCAATATATTATATTTATATATCTACTTTACATTAATTATCTACTTATAATTTATAAATACATACATTATATTACTTATATTTCTTATCAAATTATATATTACTTATACATTTATTATATCTATTAATATAGTTGGAATTATATCTAATTAATTTGAAGTCATTCTATTACTCCCATCCGAAAGAGCGAAAGTCCGAAAGAGGTACGAAATCATTCTATATTATTTACACTTGTTTAATTTTGTATTAACGTTACTTGAAAAAAAAAACTAGTTAATTCTCATAATAGTTAAAGTTAAACTATAATAATTTGATTGTTAGTAAAAAAAATAGGTTGTACAAAAAAATAGTTGTAATTCTCATTATAGTTAAAGTTAAAGTGCATTAATTTTATTGTTAGTAAAAAAAATAAGTTGTACACAAAACTAGTCAATTCACTAGTTAATTTGATTTAAGTAAACTTTAAAATACTAATTTGCTATAACTCGAATTAATAGTTAGATTAATAGTTAATTACTTTATTACAATTTTTTATTAATTGCTACCTTTGATTCTAGTTTAAAAAACTAGTTAATTCTCATTATAGTTAAAGTTAAAGTATATTAATTTCATTGTTAGTAAAAAAAATAGCTTGTACACAAAACTAGTTAATTCCTGGTTAATTTGATTAAAGTAAACTTTAAAATACTGATTTGCTATAACTCCATTTTTTTATTAATATATTTTTATTAATATATTTGTTGCAATTTAATATTTGTTACATTTTTTAAATGGATCGACCTAGATATTCGGTTGATATGGGTAACCTCGAGCGCAACCGAATGAAAGAGCTTGCGAGGAAGAGATCCCGCAAAGGTAAATCACATATCGGCTCTTCATCTCAAAGTCGAGATGATTTTGATACGGGTTACGCAAGGAGGGATGGGGATACGATGACCGATGAACAACTAGAACAAGAATTGCACCAACATAATTCCCGCTTTTTTCAAGACCAACCGAGGACCATTGACGAAGAAGAGCTCGAGGACGACGATGTGGAGGAAGTAATTCCGGAGAGCCACGACGACGAAGAGGAGGAGAGTGGCGGCAGCCACGACGCCGACGAGCCTGCCTCATCCCAAATCGGTACGAAAAAAAGTAAATCTGAACTAATGGCTAATAATTTTTCTAAGTGGAAGGACCCGAACACCGGGAATTGGACCGCAACTTGCCATTGGTGCAAGAAAAACTATAGCTTGGGGATTTCCGGCGGATACTTATCCGCCACAAGACATCTTAAGTCCAAACACCCGGTGGAGTATGCAAAATTAGGCGGCGGAACGGGAAAACAAACTCAAATATCGAGGTTTGCAAATAACCAACAAGCTTTTGGTAATTTCTCATACAATGATGCACAAAATTTGACTGGTATGGGTAACTTACTTGTTGAAGAAAATTTGCCTTATTTATTTTCTGAAAGTCTTGCTTTTCGTGATTATGAACAAACTTGTTTAAATCCGCAATATAGAGGTTATAGTCGCAAAACGGTTAAGAAATAAATTTCAAGGCTTTATGGTGCGGAAAAGGTAAGGTTACAAAATTATTTTGCAAACTTTGATGGGCGTGTTACTGTATGTTCTGACATATGAGAGGATACTTATCATAATTTACATTATTTGGGTCTGACTGTACATTATATTGATAATGATTGGCATATGCATAAAATGTGTTCTTGCTTTCCGTGAATTTAATGATCATCACACCGCTGAACATATTTATATTTTGATTGAGCGTATTTTAATTGAGTATAATTTTATTGATAAGGTGTTTGCTATTGGTTTTGATAATGCTGCTAATAATACTGCTGCTATTCCTAGATTGCGTGAATTGTGTGGTTCTACTTCTTTGATGTGTAGATTTTTTCATCAACGATGTGCATGTCATGTTCTAAATTTATGTGTGCAAGATGGTCTAAAAGCGTTGGGAACATCTTTGGAGGTAGTCAAGGGGGGGATTAGACGTATTTGGGGTAATGGACAACTTAGAAAAAAATGGCATGATTATTTGATAGAAAGAGGTGAGAAATATGTGACTTTTCCTAAAGATTTGTCTATTCGTTGGAATAGTACCTATAAGTTAATTGGAGTTTTTCTTAGATATAAACAACATTTTCCTGCTTTTATGAAACAATATGATAACTATATTATAAACTCGGCTGAGATCGACACCTGTGAAAAAATTTGTAATGCTGTTATATTTTAATAATGCAACTGAAACTTTTAGTCATGTTTATAAACCTGCCTCAAACCAATTTATTCGTGAAGCTGTTAATCTCGCCGGTGCTTTTTCAAATTTTGAGAATGTTGATTATGTGAGTTATTTTGCTAGTTTTATGAAGGAAAAGTTTTTAAACTATTATTCACATATTCCGCATGTTTATGGTATTGCATTTGTTCTCGATCCTCGTTTTAGACTTGGTTCTTTAGAAGAATGTTTGAATTATTATTATGCTGCTTTTTTGGTCCATTTCCAATGTATGAGGACAACCCAATTGATCCGAAAAAAAATACAGCGAGGTTAGTGATATATTTTATGCATTATTTAATGAGTTTCATGCACAATATGACAATGCGCCTCCTCCCCCGACACAAACATCATCTAAAGGAAAATCAATTTTCAAATCTACATTTGCCAATCTTATTAAAAAAACGAAATCAACTCCCGCTACGCAACAAAGCACAATTAATGAGATTTCTTTGTATTTAACATATGATGTTGATTTTGAAGAAGATGATGATTTTGACGTACTAAACTGGTGGAAGGGAAAAGAAAGAATGTTCCCGGTTTTAGCAAAGATGGCTAAGCAAGTGCTATCAATGCTGGTTTCAGCAGTTGCCGTGGAGTAAGAATTTAATTCGGCCGGCAATGTCCTAACGCAATGTAGAACGAGGTTGAGCGCAGAATCTCTTGAGATGCTTATATGCTACCACGATTGGTTGAAAGTAGGGTTGGACTCGGGCCGGGTGGCCCGACCCGGAACCGGCCCGGCCCGAACCGGTGGCCCGGTCAGTGACCGGTCCGGGTAGGCCCGACCCGGTGGGTTTCCGGTCCGGGCTCGGGTCACCCATAACAGGCCCGGCCGGGCCCGGGCCTGATTCGGGCCAAATTTATTTATTTTTTTTTGGTTTTTTTCATTTGTTTGGGCTCCACCGGGTTGGGCTTGATGTTTAGGAGGGGTTTGGGGGGTGGGGGGTGAGGGGGGGTCAGGGATGGGTAGCTAAGAAAAAAAAATTAACCAAACCCGAGGCCCGGCCCGGACCCGGACCGGACCCGGTGGCTACCCGGGCCGGTCCCGGGTCCAGCTATATAGAACCGCCGGCCCGACCGGGCCCGACCCGGCCCGAGTCCAACCCTAGTTGAAAGCGGCCCGTAGAGCTCAAGAAATTGACATCACCCCATCCCAACACTTTATGGATGAATCTACAACCGAGGGTGGCTCTACCTATGTCGGAGATTCCGATTGAATGATTGATTAGTATTTCATGTTTTAATTTTACCTTCAATTCTCAATTGTAACTTTTAAACTTGTAGTTCATATTTCAAATAAATATACGTTCATTTTTTTATATGTAGCATTTTTTACTGAATTCATAAAATTAATTAACTATGTAATTTATTCAAACTTAAAACATACAAAAAAAAAATTGAAATCAAAAGCCCCAAACGGCTATATAGCCACTTTGGTAGTTTGGTTGTTTGAAATTTGAATCAATAGAGGCAGCCGTTGGAGGTGGGGGTGGGGTACAAAAAATTCTATAAATACTCTTATTTTCTAACATTTTTATACACATCTTCTCCAACATCCAATCTCCATTCTCCATCTTCATCTTCATCTATTGTAGAATTATTATATCTACCATTTTTAAGATGGAAAGTCAATATGCCGTTATACGGTATAATTTTGATAAGCAGAAGGACTCGAGGACCGGGATGTGGTACACAACTTGCAAATGGTGCGGGAAAAAATGTAGCATGAGGGTTTCAGGTGGATACGGGATGGCAATGAAGCATATTAAGTCATGTGACAAAGCCAAAGGATCAGGAGGTGCGGGAAATTCCGATTGATTACAATTTACAAAATGTATTTCATATTGTATGTTTCTCTTAATTTTCAAATGTAGTTCCTATTTCATTTCAAATAAATGCACTTGAAGTTTGTTTTTAATACTTGTATAAAACTATAAAGTATAAATTATAAAAAAAAAATAGTTTTAACCGACCAGGCCCGGCCCGGCGGGTGGCCCGAACCCGTGACCCGGGCGGGTGGCCCAGCCCGAACCGGACCTGTCCAAACCTCGGGCCGGTTCCGGGTCCATGAGTTACAAACCGGCGGCCCAGCCCGGGCCCGACCCGAGTCCATGCATAGACTGTTGGAATATTTATAGCGCTTTATTTCTTTCAACACAAGTCTCTTTCTCACAAGGAATAAATCTAATTTAAATTTGTTCAATATTTTTATTTTTCCTAATTGCCTACAAAATTAGACGTTTAACAAAGAAAAACTTTATGTTTAACAAAGAAACACACACCTAAAGGTTTTATGTTTTTCTATTATTCCAAAAAAAAAAACTTATGTTACTTTTTTAAGTCACTCGATGACCTAGCCTAGTCCAATTTTGTTCACCCCTCCTTGGAGGGTGAACATCACCCCTCTTCTCTTTACTTGCCATTTGGCATCCCAAATTTTCTTTTTCTTAAAATCATTATAACTTTTTTTTATAATTTATTTTTCATAAAAAATATACGAGATTTAATAACTTTTTATAATCTTTCCAATGGTATCCATATTGCAAACAAAAAAATAAAAAAAAAAAACTTTTTTTTCTTAAATCTTTTTTTGGTCGGATTTTTTTTAAGTTTTACATATGCAATATTAGTATCATATGAAAGATCATAAAAAACTGAAAAATTGATATAATTTGCGAAAAAATTGAATCAAAAATAAAAGAGTTATACCAATTGCAAACTTATAAAGTATTGCAGTATTGCTATGCCATGTGACAACATTGGAGGGTGAATGGGTGATGTTCACCCTTCTGAGGGGTGAAACCGTGAAACACACACCTAAAGGTTTTATGTTTTTCTATTTAAATTGCATTTCTTAGTTACATGACTGAAATTATCATTCCCAAAAGACATAAGACTCATTTTAACATCCAAATTTAAACTCAACCACAATTCCTCAAATTATAACATTGTCATCCAAAAAACATTTTTTATACTGATGGGTATAGACGTATACCCACCGTAGGTGGGAGCCTTTGCGGCACTGGCGTAAATGAAAATGAAATGAAAATGGGTATAGACGTATAGTATTCTCACGAAGAATAACTATTTATGCACTGAGTTTTATATTGTTTAGATTTTCGTTTGATATTACTTGGGTATGGTTGGGCTATTAATGAAATTGGGCTGCCAAAATAGCATGATGTAGCATACACATGGTACATCCGGCCATCCAGTAAGCCCTTACACACATACATTATCATTTTAAAATGTAATAATTGAAACCAGAAAATAGTGAGTTTGTTTGTCAGGAACAACATTTTACCAGAAAAGCTAATCTCTCAAATACTCCAGAAGTCAGCACAATAGTTGCTTATTACAAGATGCAAGTATTCATCTTGAAGTCAGGCACGGGGATAACACACTTTCAGTATTCTTTCGTCCCAAAGTTCTTGCACCAAAGCTGGGAGGGAATGGGTCTGACTGGATGATGGGGTCTTTGCTGCAAACCAAAATTAAATTTATTAGTACACAAATCCTAATCCAACTAAAGCTGAAACAGATAAAAATGAATTGTGTAAGTTACAGCATCAAATCTTAAATCAATCCTTATTCAAAGATTCCAAGTCGAAGGGGAACTAATTAGCCATAAAAGGGGAAAACCTGGAAAGAGAAGCACTTATACCTTGTTTGGTTACAAAGCGGGGAAGCGAATTGAGGAAAAGCAGGAGAGAGAGAGATATGAGGAGATTGGAGGAGTTTTAAGCTCCCGCCCCCATCCGATACACATGACACTATATTTATATAATCACATGGCAAATCGAAATTTAGGATATAATTAAAAATATAATTTAATCCAAAACTTCACTATCAGCTCTACTGTAATTACCATGGTTTTAAAAGGCTTTTTAGGCTCACCTCAATGTGAGGCTCTGGAAAAAAGGCTCAGAGGCTTAAGCCTCAATGGGATAAACTGGGCTAAAGCCATACATAGTTGAGGCATTTGTGAGGCATAAGCCTCAAGGATTTTTATGAGGTTTAAGGATGTTTTTACTTGGACTGTTTTCAGTCCCAAACCAGACTTTGACAATAATAAAATACACAAAGACCAAACCAGACTAGAAAATTTTAGTCTAATTAAAAACATCCTAAGCCTCAGAAGGTGATGTTGTTGTAAAGTTAAAGACTGAAGGCATTTTGTGAGGCCCGCCTAAGCGATTAAGCCTCATGTTTTTTACTTTCTATATGTAAGTTTTTTCTTACACCGATTCTTTTTAAATAAACTCAAATTTCATCCATTATTTTAAAGATAATCAAACTCAAGATCCTATGTAGGATCGGAAGAAGACCCTATGTAGGATCAAATTATCAGAAGCCGTAAAATCATAAATCTTAGGATTGTTATTCGGATCATAAGCTACACACACATATACAAATAGTCAGCAAGAAAAGAAGGAAGAAAAAAAGTATAAAATAAAAATAATACGATAGTATATATTAATATACGAATGTTTTTATGTATATATATTGGTGTGTGTGTGCAGTTACGTACCAGATATGAATGAAAAGAATATATAATATAACAATGGAAATATTGTTATTTTAAAGGAACTAACTCCAAAGCTTAAGTTCTGTATAATATAACATTATCATGGAACACTCTACACTATAGTATAGACAGTAATAACATTAGAGTTCCCTACGGTTTTTTACTACACTAAAAAATAACCTGGAGGTCGACGCAGAAGCTAACAGATGAAGACCACAGAAGATATGGAAAGATGAAGAAAAGATTGCAGGCGCAGGGGCTTCGCAGGTGTTCACTGATGCTTGCTCCTTGATCGCAGGCAGATTGTGAATATGGTGTTCACTTATGTTTGCAGGGTTCTAAAAGATTATTTTTCCACAGATTTTGAAGCGACGAACCTACTGTTTCAACATTCCTCAAGTTTCTAACAAGCTACTACTCTTCGAAATCTTTTTCTCTGACATTCCCAAAGGGTTGGAAGTTTTTCAATTTTTACGATAACTGATAGGAATAAATTGTGATTCATCTGCAATTTTACGATAATGCAAGTTAACACGATTACACGACAATAACAGTAACTCTTATTATTTTCTGAACTTCCGTAGAAACGAGATCACACGAGCTCCTGGGAATCGTATAATCGTACGATCCTACAAGCCAGCTCGCGATTTTAACCACCATGGTTATTTTGCAATAATTAGTCATAAAGGCATTTAGCCCATCAAAAACTCTAAAATATATTTGCAAACATTAAAAATGGTCATATAAAAACTCTTTTATAAAGTTCCCATTACCTACAGCAGAAGTGTGAGCATTTCTTGCAAAGATGCAAAGGTAGTGATCTACTATTGATATTCTTCTCTAGTTCTCTTCTCTCTTTTTTATGCAAGGTTAAAATAACTCAAGCAACTTCAGCTATATCTTTCTTTTTATTTGAAAATAAGAAAATGTAACATAGGTTCTTTAGATTTTCTTTTTATTCAATTTACTTCAGAGCATAAAAAATCCAGGCAAAGCCATTTCTTCTTTATTTTCTGATTTTATTTAGGACAACAAATCTTAAATACTTTTCTTGAAAGATTTAAGCATATGATGATACTTATGTATGATTGATAATATGTTTCAGATGGTCGGTAATTTTGAAAAATAAAGTTCTACATACAGTTTGAGGCTTATGCCTCAAGTTTCCTGGAGGTTTACACCTTGCAACAGCAAAACGCCTCAAGGCTTAAAATCGGCTTTTGAACATTGATTATCATAATATAATACTTCTTTTGTCTTCGAATTAGGAAATGCAAAAATTGTGTGGTTCATATTGCTTTAGCAATTTCTAGATGAAGCACTATCACACAATTTTACTTTTCCAATAAGCGTGACAAAACAAGAACATATTTTGGGGACGAAGATATTGGCATACAAGAGTTATGCAGATAAACAGAATGGCTTTACAAAACTGATATATAAGAATATCTAAATCTCTTTATATTTAATTCATGATCAGGTGCCTCTCAAGTCTCAAGAGAAAATAGTTGAGGGAACAAGGGACAAGAGCTAAATCTTATAAACATCATTTACATACAGATGACTAGAGACAATGTGAAAAACACAGAGTACAGAAGGTTCTAAATTCCAATATGGACAATAAGAATAACATATGCATCATGCATGTAAAATGGAAAATGCACAAAACAAGATGGAAAATTACTACAGTTTCATCTACAGATGTTAATTCCTTTTTCCCTTTAGATGTGTTTGGAAGTCAGAAAGTTCTTGGGAAAGAAAATAGAGAGAAAAACATAAGAGAAGTTTGGAAGAAAAGAAAATGAGAGAAAATAAAATATTCTTTCAAACTCGACAAATATATTGTTTATATTAGTTCAAAATCGTACCATTCCAGGTATATCAATGTAACCACACATAAAAACTTTGAAAATGTTAACCATGTTTTATTTTCCACTGTGAAACCAATGATAATAAACTTTCATTAGCATTGTTTATCCACTCTCTAACATTTCCAGGATCCAAATACACCCCTAAGATAACACAACAGGAGAACCACTTGCAGATCCTAAAGTTATGTACCAAACTTTTGTTATACTCAAATTTGGTTTCTGTTTTTCAATACAACTTTTGGTATAGTTTCTGAATATGAAAATCACAGTACTAAGACTAGTTATGCTCAGGGAAGAATTGATTCTATCACCAGTCAAACATCCTAGCAGTACAATGAAATTTAATAAGAGGGTGATGTAGTAGCAACTAGCAACTTTATTATTCTAAAGTCATCATTATGGCAATTTATCTAATAGTGATATTACAATTGAACTGCGCAACAGGTTACAGCTGCTAATAATGAATCCCGTGATTAACAATTGTAAGCAGCTGAATCCTTGAGTTTAAAACATACTGCATCATTTATCAGCCAGAGATTCCAGACTATATTAATCTATTCATGATAAAGTGATGCAAGAGAAAATATATTAACAGGCCACCTAATTAATCTAAGATATGGAGTAGTAACAGCAAAAACCCTAGTTTAAATAAATATGATCCCAATTTAGGGGAATGGAAAATAAAACCAGGTTATGTTTTAGGACAAAATATAATAGCAATATATGAATTCAGTAAAATGAAAACGCATGGTACCTCTAACTGAGCGGATTTCATCGCTATAGGAATGCAAACGAGAAAGATTCCAGCCATGGCTATGGCGGTATTGCGCTTCCAGTGCACAGGTCTGCAGTTAGGTCCGCCGGTCATGGTCCAGACCTTGGCCCGAAAGTCACCGGCCGCATCACCATGGTGGTGTCCGTGGTCTCCTCCTCCACCCATGGGTTGAAAGCGTATAGATTACAGAGATGACTAAGCGGACTTGGTACTAAAATTGGTAGCACTCGACTCGTTCAGTGACTGAAATTAATAATGCATTAATGCACCAGTACTCTCTAGTGTTGTGTCCTCCCAATTTTAAACATTTTAAATTTAAACTTTAAAAAGTGTGTAAAAAAAGTTATTATCTTGTGCACATTTGAGGTAGATTGCGGTTGTCTTAATCGGATTTCGTATTCGGATTTCGTATTGTATTTTTTTTATTTGATATGTTCACAATTTACTGTTTTAATTCCTCTTTGATAGTGTGTAAATAGTCATTTATTAGTTTTTAAAGTAGCGGTACGTTTGTCCATCACAGAAGAGAAGCTTGGGAGGCAAAAGTTCTATATGAAGAAGATTGTTTTTGTAAAACACAAGATCACGTATTACCAATTACCGAGGACCGAGGGGTGTGAGTAGAAATGGCAATTTCGGCTGACCCGATAGATACCACGTACCCGCATCGAACCAATTTGGTCAAACTGGGAAAAACCGGTTTGACTGGGGAATGGGTACGGGGTGGGAAATACTCGATTTTTTTAAATGGATAATGGTGCGGTTATGGTTCTATACTAATCCACCCCGTTATCCGCCCCGTTCACTAACGGTGCGGGTATCCGCACCGTTACTCGATCTATAACATTATTAATAAATTATGCTACGTAACTTTTTATATATGAGAATAACAAGTATATATGCTAAATTGTGTACACTAAATCGTATATATCATATAAGTATATAAAGAATAATACACCAGAGGTCCACTTCAAAACCACTAACATCCCTAACTCAGTGTATTACAGATTTATGTCTCAGGGCTCTGCTTCTTAACAGTGAGAACAGCTCTCTTCGAGCCTACTAGATGGAGGGATGCTAGGCCTGCAGTTCGGCTCTACCGTCGGTGGCTTCTAATCTTTCTCATTATCAAGGATTCGACCCAGTTTCTTCTTTCTTTTTTTACTACTCTTTTATTATGTTACAAGATATATTAGGTGCTTGTCATACTAATGAATTTAGGATTCAAATTGCTTGATTGCTTGAATATTTACGTTTGTATGCTTTATGGTGCTTTTAATATATAATTTACTATGAAGGATGTTTACATTAACAGGTAGGGTTAAAAATTGGTTATTTGGTATCATTTGGGCAAACAGTTACCCAAAGATAAACTGATTCCCCGTTGGGGCGAGTACAGTTCAAATAAAAATTACCCGAACAGGTAATGGGGCAAGTTTCGAGCAAACATTTATCCAACGGGGCGGTTTTCGGTTTTACGTGTACCCGTCCCCGATCTCTCACGCCCCGGACTGGACGGACGCGCTAACAACCGCCGCACAATCCGATTAAGGCAACCCTAGTCTACCTCTCTCGAACCATGCAAGACGTACATGAATACCATTCACACAAGTACATCCATAAAAAATCATAAATAAAGCATTTCAAAATACGCAGCGGAAAACAAATACATTTTTATAGTCAAAGGCCACACAGGGCAAACATGAGCACGCAGGCTCCCAAATCATTATAGTTTAAAATAGTTTCCATGAGCATCATTTTATTTGTATCAAAATAGAATTGGAAGAAGCACGAACCACATCTTCTCTCCATAGATTACCCGAAGCAACGGGAACAGGAAGCAAGCTCTAACTTCTACCTGAAAACTGTGAGGTGGCCTCCCCCGTGAAGGGGAGGTCAGTACTTTGAAGCATTTGAAAAGTACAATGACAACTATACGGCATATAATCCATGTTTCAAACCCAAGACCCTCAACATAGGGTGATACTATATTATGGGCATAACCTATAGCTACCTCATTTCAAATCACTTGTATAGTATATATATATATACAATTCAAATAGTCGCCCGTAGGCCCATTTGTATTTCAAAACAATTCCCTTTAAAATAGCCCTTGGCCTATACTTGCAAATAGCAACTTCGAGAGGTTACCTCACCCCTAGTCTAAACTTAATTCCATCGAAAGGGTTACACGTTTTATTCTTTGCACTCATCCATATTGGACATACACACCCTACGGTTGTATTTCTTCGTTTTGGGCTTACACACCCAGTATAATATCTTTGATTCAATTCTCCCTAGAATTTTCAAGTGGCCCTAACTAGTTGGGTTATGTTCCGTGGCATGTAAATCCGATAATTCTCACCCAAGGTGAATCATTAATATCAATTTTCATTAAAATGTACTTACTTACATACAGTTATGTAGTCGGCCCATGGGCCCCCTTTCTATATTCCATTTCACTCGTCATTTGCACGACACTACCCGTAGGTCTTATTATTTCTACGGGACTTCTTACCCCTGTCCGAGGCCTCGTATGGTCCCCGGGTCGGATTTCAACATCCCTCCCTTGGGCTCATACTCATCACGTAGGAAGGTAAGGCCTTTCGGGGTCCTATCTTATGTGTTACCGTTGTCGGAGCCTCGTTAGGTCTCCGATTCAGATTCCACCCTTACACGTGATCACACTGCAAGTCTATGTTATCCAACCATGCTCTCTAGAGTCGGGAAGGGTCATGGTCCTTACTTCTTTACCATAATTTATCCCGGCTATCCTCAAGGACTACCGAACACACCCGTAGGCCAATCCTATACTAGGATCAATTTATAATTCCAATTATTTTGGGTAGCCTTTAAGGCCTACCCCTTGTATAACTTAGAGTTCATACATTCCTACCTTGAAGTATCTCTTAAGACTACTTAAGGCATAATTACTCACAATCCAATTTCTTAGGATTAATTTTATCATTATTCGTATTAACATCCCGACTAGTATCTTAATACAGGCCGGATTTATCTTAGAGCAATCAAGTTCTCAAATCATGTTGCATATCTATACCTCATTAAGATACAAACCATAGGCAAATTGTAAGTCTAGGATCGATTAATCAATTTAGTCACTCTGGGTTCTCCCTTCAGGAATGCCCGAAGCATAACTTAAATTTCGTTTTCTTACAGTCATGCTAACCGTCTCATCTCACACAATGCTTCCCGTGGAAGCGACCCAATACTCGCTCGGTAGCTATTGCTACATGAAGGACTCCCATGTATCAAGAACCAATCCCAAATCTCAGGGGATTTCAAAAATAAGTAACCATTTTTAGCTCTAAAGTACACCTCACATGCTCGTGCTGCCCACCCATAGGTGGATGGATATAACACTAAACTTCAATTTAGTTCCTCAAATTCTTTGTTATCCCCTCGTGATCTCCTGATACCCATAAAATAATGAGTAACGCTTAAGGTGAATCAGCTAGGTGTTTTGACCACTACATTGGTCTTCTTTGTATGGTATCATGTCACTCGGTGATAATCAATCGCCGGTTCTACCCATTTTTTAAGTCTTACGTAGACTCCTCGTTAACCATTTCTTACGTCAAGCTTTAATACCCAATTCATATGTTATATACTATCTGTGGTTCTTCTTACCGATGATCTTGCCCTCTCTTTGGGTAACACATGTTCTTCTTACTCAACTTATTCGTTTAAACCTTGGAGCGTAGGGCCTTGCCCTTATTTCCCCCGAGTTCTCAATCTCCCGGTTAATAGCCAACCCTAGCACTATACTTCTCAAATCATTCCTTATCAAGGATATCCTCTGGGTTCCAATCGTACTCAACGATATTAAACCTTACACTCAATTTCCTTTATTCACTACTACTGTTATGTAGTGGTATGTATCGATCGTCGTATCATTTCAATTTACAAGTTCCCCCCCTCACACTTGCTTAACACATCTTCGGATTAAGGATGATTCTATCATCCTGCTCACACACCTTCAGTGTTCCTACACCTCAACCTCAATGCAAGACACACTCCCCTTCGTAACGATACGTTTCAAGGCTCAAAAGATGGCATGGGTTCAAAACAAACAAAAAGCCATCCGGTTTACATAAAAGCCGTCCGGTTTACATAAAAGCCTCCCGGTTTTCATACCCAAACAAAAAAATTCGATTACTTTCCTCCGTAAGCCGTCTGGTTTCCATGAAAGCCGGCCGGGGTTTGGCAGCGCAGTTTTAAATCCAACATTAATTCCAGAAGCCGGCCGGTTTCCATGAAAGCCGGCTGGTGTTCAGCCCCGTACTTTAATTCAATTTATTCAACCCAAAAGCCGGCCGGGTTTTGCCAACGTCGGGCGGTTTTTGAGCGGTCCCATGCTTCATGAGAAATTTTTTTACGTAAGCCGGCTGGTTTTTGCAAATACCGGCCGGTGTTTGGCGCCGAACTTTATTTCCAATTTAATCAATGCATATGTCGGGCGGTTTTCACCAAAGCCGCCTGGCTTTTACACTTATTTAATATTACATTTTGTTTTCTTGCTAAATCCGGTCAGCTTTGCCTTAGGCCGGCCAACATCCCATCTCTGGACATTTTACAACTTAAGTGTGCATTCAAATTAAGTTTTTAAGAAGGATTACTTGTAACGGTGGACGTGTCCATGCAAGAAATTGTCCCCTCCTTGTGTAAACTCATCGTTGAGTTCTTCTTTGATTCATGGACTGTATGTTGCTCACGTTATCCCCTCTAGGTTGTGTGCTCGCTTGAGATGTCCTTGCAGGGTTCATATCTCCTATGGTCCCTCCATTAGCCCCTAAAATAGTGTTACTTCCCCGTTGAGGACAATGGAACTTCATGTGTCCCGTATCCCCACAAAAGAAACACCTCCTTGATTCACGACACTTCCCGTAGTGGTATTTATCGCAATTATCACATCTTCGCACCCTAGAGCTTAGAGATTTCACTCCTTGGGTTACAGACCCTTGATTATACATTGACAGTGGCATAGGCATTTTAAAATTTTCCTCCAACCCAATATTCTGCCTTTTGCTTTGATCATGGAAATCATTGATTTCCCCCATCCTCTTTCTAGCCTCCTCAGCATTTTTAGCCTTTTTTCTTCCTACATCTCTTCCCCGATAAGGTCTTGTGTCACCACCTCATTAAAAGTCATGCTCTTTTGGTAGGTCTCTCTCTCACGCACCTCCAAATTCAACGCGTTCCAGAAGTGGTCGACCATATGAGCTTTATTCGTCGCATACTCCGGAAGAAATCTAGTCAAGTCTCGGAACTTCAAGCTCAAAATTGCCCCACGTGACGACTCCATTGAATTTACCCTTGACACCATCCCATTATGTTGAAGCCAATCCATCCAACATTCTAGTGGCAACCCTCATCTTAAGGTTAGGCGTCAATTGCATATTAAGCCTCTTAACCCATTCCGCGACCTCAAATATATCTCCCGTTCCATCAAACGGTTTACGTCTGAGTGCTCTTGCCTCTTTAAGATACTTAGAGACCCTTATAATAGGACTCTCAGTACTTCGATTTCTAGTACTATCCCTACGTGCCCCACACGTATTACAACTTCATCTCTTGGAAGCCACTTGTCTAATTCGCCTCTCATGGCATCGTTTCTGTTTTAGTTCCCGTTTACATTGGTATTTTTCAAATACCTGACTAATTCCCTCCAAGGAGACATCATTGTCTTCCTCATGAAAATCACCACTCTCATCATATGAGGTTTCAAGTGATTCAGTTTCTGGTTTATACGTTGAGTCTTCTTCGGACTCCCAAGACCTATACGCGGTCTCCAAATGTACTCTGTCCATGGTTTGGATTCCTTGGCCTCCTCGGCCTCTCCCTTTTCCTCTAGATACTCTAGAGTTCCCCCGGTTGACATGCCCAGTTTTGTCCGGTGCACGCCCTTTCCGGTTCTTCCTAGTTATTATGCCTCCACCTCTCGTTTCTGAAAGAAATTTTTAGAATGAGTCATCAGACTCATTTCAATGTCGACTGACAGATAAGTACTTAAGACACCACTTGGCTCAAATCACCACCATACCAATTGTTAAGGGGTCCGTCTTAACAACCAGAGACATTGCAACAAACTCAAGTACCAAAGGCTCTTTTAGTACAAAACTTTTTATGCTCATGGTTTCCAAAATCATTTTGAAGAAAACACTTTTGAGGAACTTCATTATGTAGTTTATGGACTAAGGCTCTGATACCATTTAATTGTCACGCCCC